TATCGTCGCAAATAGTACCCCATTGGTTTTCGTGGTAAACTTGAATAGTTCCTTGTCCTGCGTTAGATCCACCACTAAGTGAAATTCGAGAGTCTGATGTGATAAAAAAAAAGACAGACGTAAGAATTTCCGTAAGTTTAGACGGTCATTATGAATATATCAACGAGGGAAATCAGGCTTCCTTATACATAATGTAAAATTTGCATATTTATAACTTGTTCTCAACGATTGATGGTATATAAAGTTATATTCGGACAATATAATTTCATATATTTGCTGATACATACTTTCTCCATGTACTTGTGCCTAGTAGGAAATCTTTGCATCGCTTATCTTTTCTTAAATCTTAAGTTTTGTCATCCATTAGTATAATATAAAACAATATTGTTTTTATATGCCAAAATTATTCTTTGGAATTTCTACATGTTGGTTACGTATTTGGAATTCACAGAAAACTGGCTATCCACTAATATCCTACTACCATTCACGAAAGACGAGACTGAAGAAAATCACAAATCCAACCTTCTTTTATATTAACATTAAAACAAAAAGGACGATGGAAATCTCTAGTCTTTTTAACGGATACCTAAACTTTACAAAAATCCATATAAAAATTTTTTTTATATAAAGCCGGGCCATCAAGATGTTTTACTTATCATTTTTCTTATCACTACCATTATTTCTACAATAAAAGATGGTCCTCAGAAATATTGTGATGAGGCAACTTCAACCAGCGATGTCAACCAGATTCTCATAAAAGTTCAAGGAACTACTTCAAAAAATATTTGATTTTTCTACGCTTGACACTACTATTCTACATGCTTATTTTGAAAGATCTACTACATCGTCTCATAAGACATATATTTTCTACAAAAAGAGGGATTAGATTTTTGCCATGGTACTGTCTGTTTTAATTGGTCCCTTGGTATCTTCTTTCTCCTTTTGAAAAATTTAAACGCTGGAATCGTTTAGTAATTGGTGAATTGATATCTTAACAGACAGTCGGTAATTAGATTGGTACTAATATTGCACTCTACTGACTGATTCATTTTTTTCATATGAAGCAGAATTCATACAGAAACTTCTCTAAGACAAAATGAAAAACCATCTTGCAAAGTTGTGAAATTTGTTTTTCAGGTGTATTTATAACGTTTTGTCCCTCAATAACTAACATAAATGGTTGCATCTCATTACTCAGTGAATTTGAAATTAAGGATACCACCGAATTAGAAGGTCTGCTTAATATTTTAATCTTTCCCCAACTATTGCCATAGATGGATAACTTCAAAACAAAATTTATTAGTACTTTCAAATTGTCAAAACATACCATTTCTCATCAGTAACATACCCTCTAAATCATCGTATGGCGTTTACATATCCCAACTAACGCTTGTGCATGTTTACACACACTATACGGACCACACTAACAGGGGTGTGATTCCTACTCAAACATGCTCAAACATAATTGCGAAGAAGAACGACTGAAATCGATACTATATAAGTTTTAGGCTTGGCCGATATAATGTGAGTATGCTTCCATAGTAAGTAAAAAATGTAAGGAAGTTATTTTCAACAGAAAAATGTTTAGATGCTCAATTTTCTTGGAAAACATAGAACATGGACTATCTTTAAAAATTCTGAATATGATAACTATGTTAAAGATGGAAGATTTTTTTATGACTTCTACAGGTGATCGTAAATTTTAATCCCTCACATACAACACGATTCTATCTCTTTAATTTATCACAGTAAAAAATGAATCAAAAATATTATTTTATTGCATGGACCGGATGCATTAAATAGACCTAGATCTTTCAATCGTCATGAAATTAAGAACAAAGTAAGTTAATATGTAAATACATATACTATGAGGAGGAATTTGTGGAAACATTTTGTCTGCAATATCTACGTAGGGGTCAAAATACCTGTTTGATATTCAACATATATTGTAAAAGACTACCGGGGCCGCTTAAACAACAATGAGACCTTCCTGATCTTTCAATATCTATAAAATGCTGGTTACAGCTAGGCTAGGCCTATATATTAGTACTTTAAAAAAATATTTCTGAAAAATTTCATTTTCGATATGAACGGTGGACTTAACAATAAAAAATCAACTAAAATCGGCGGAAAAGTGCCAGGTGCGTTTGATAGAACTGTTTAATCTGTTAGTTGTAATAAAATTTCTCTTGATGTCATTAGTTTCTATATATTACTTATGTATCCCGTCATATTTTGAACCACACAATTATTTTATTTATTAATATTACTTTTACTGTTAAGTCTGTTTTTTGTGATATCCATTTTACGTGACTCTGTACTTATGTATCCCGTCATACTTTGAACGACAAAATTATTTTATGTCTACCTGTGAGAATTTCAAACGCGCGGTTGTACGCCAGTACTTAAAGGTTACAAGGAAGTAATTATTTACATAGGCGACAATGGTAGCCTTTTTTGGTCCTGCGTTTTCACTATCAAAGATCCATAGAAAAAAATGTCGAATTCTGAATTATCAACATCTTTGGGTGTAATTGAAACTGCAAAACACATATGGTGCCGCAGCTTTTTTGATAGAAAAATTGCATTTTTTAAGGGTACTCAACGGTTCCGGAATTTTCGAAATAGTATAAACGAAGAACACCCCTTGCTAAATTTGGCACAGAAAATGTTGCTCGTCACAGAGAGTTTTCTCTAAATTTCTCGCTATTTCTACACCAATGGCCAACACTCATTTCTCACTATTTCAATTTTGATTTCTAAGTACAAGGGCAGCAGAAAATAAATTTACTTCTACCTATTATCTTGGATGTAAAATCTAGGTGGCGCCAGTTATCTTTATTTACTTCCTTTTAACCTAAAACCTTCCATCCTTTATGGGTGGATTTTACATAGATAAATAAAATTTTATGTAGATAAATAAAATCGTATACTAATAAAAAAGCAAAATGAGGATGTTAAATTTGATGTATGCCTTTTTGTGCTTCTTCGTTACATTTTTTTCTTTTTAAAGTGATTAAGATGATAACGCAATGTTGACTGCTGTACTCCTATTTTTGACATTTTTTCCTATTGTGTCTGTTTGTTTCGTTCACGCATCGTTGTCAATATAATGGAATTTGATGCGACTGTCATACAATTGAGAGGTTTCGCTAGCTATACAACCAGGTTCAATCCACCATTTTCTACATAAGAAAATGCCTGTACCAAGTCAGGAATATGACAGTTGTTATCCATTCGTTTGATGTGGTTGAGCTTTTGATTTTGCCATTTGATTAGGGACTTTTCCTTTTTGAATTTTCCTCGGAGTTCAGTATTTTTGTGATTTTACCTTTTAGCTAACTCCATGCATATGCATGATGATTGAATGATCAGGAAGGTCTTGGCATTAAACTGGGCCCTTTTACCTGAATTTTCGACGATTTGATATTAAAAAGGGACACTTTAAGCTTTTTTGACAAATTAAGATACTACTAGCATCTGTATCTATATCTAATATTTAAATTGAGAATGGAAACGCGGAATGTGTCAAAGTGACAACAACCCGACGAAAAAGCCGGAAACAGCTTAAGGCTATCAATGGGTCTTCAACACAGCGAGAAATTTTCGCACCCGGAGGCGGGCTTTAGCTGGCCCCTTAACAGTAATGTACACTAGTTTAGAGAAAATGGACGTCATTCTAAACTCCGAAACATATAAATGAACCAAAACTTTAAACACTTACAAGACTAACAAAAGACAGAGGTTCCTGACTTGGGACAGGCGCAAAAATGTGGCGGGGTTAAAAATAGTTTGTGAGATCTCAACCCTCCCCCTATACATCTAGGCAATGTAGAATTAACAAACACCCAGCACTACGTACAGTAAAATGCAGTTCAAAAGAAGTCCGAGTCCGATGTTAGTATAGAAGACACTAAGCAAAATGACAATGATCAACATAAATAAACAAACGACTACCAGCAGTTACTGACATGCTAGCTCCAGACCTCAATTAAACTGATTGAAAGATTATATCTTAATCATAAAAAAATCAAACACAATCCCTCCGATGCAAAGACACTATGAGTGAATCAATATTAATTGCAAAAAATACCATCTTTAACGACCTGACAACAGTATCGTAACTATATCCCTTCTGAACAAGTCTAGTCTAGTCTAGTTATTAGCCAAATGTTATTGATATCGAAAGACCATGAAAGTCTTACGGTCATTTTTTCGGTCTCGCTTGGTCTTTTGTGATATATTTAAAATGTCAAACTGGCACTTTCAGTACGGAAGTTTCATATCGAAGACAAAAAGTTTTGAAAATGTTCTTTTTATGTTTTCCATAGTTTATCTATTTACATTTTTCATATGTTTTTATAGATTCCTTTCTTTTTGTAAATTGGGAATATCATGTTTTGAAAGTAAATCTGCGATTGCATTTTTTGATAAAAAAATCTTTCAATAACTATAAAGAGAAAATTGTGATTTACGCTAGCTGCCGGTTTGATATTGAATATCTAATAACGATTAACGGACCGGTCGCTAACTTCATTCATACTTATCCCATATATTTTACAAGTACACAAAATATATCCTATTCCATAGGGTTTAACGATGATTTAGCAAATACATTCCAACTCCGCAAAGGGCTAGCAAAAATTTTATAATTACATTCGCGGTATTAAATTTACTGCACCGGGTGCGTCTTTCGGCAATTAATGCTCGAGGCTAAAATATATATCGAAATCCGAATACTAATACAAACGTTGAAGAAACGTTGGAAAAAAAACAAAAAAGTGCGATTAAAGGTAAGGCCAAACCCGGACATGTAATAAGAGCAATGCATGAGGGGGATATTTCCTTAATTCAAAAGATTGATTAATCATTAATTTTCAATAATCAATTATCTATTTTCTCTCGCACATCAAATTCAAAGCTTATAAATGATTTAGATTTTTTAGTTTCTTATTATACTACTACAAATGATAACAGTAATGATTTATACAATACATTACCACAATCAACACCAACATCCTGGCCATGGCCGCAGTTTGTTTTTCCCCATCCAGCAAATTTACAGTCGCCCAAATCGTTTTCAGTTCCGTCACATGCTAAATCATCCATCCAAATTTTACCTGTTCCCAGGTGATATCCTGCAGAATTGTGGATGCGATAATTTCTAAAAGTATTAAATAAAAGATATTTTCACAAATATTCCAAAAAAATATTTTTACACTTTTATAGTAGAGTATGTCATCTAAACACTTTATAAAAGCATAGCTTAGACAATGAGATTTTCGGAAGACGACGGAACTATCCATTAAGCTAAATATAGACTGAACTGACACGATTTATATTTTACATCAAACTTAGACTTTCAATGTTTAAAATATCAAACACAAAACAGAAATTGTATTTTCATCGTCTATCTTAAATAATCTGAATCATGCTAATGCCTCAGCAAAAACACACATTTAAAAAAGCTAAAATAGAAAATGGTTTGTGCCGAGAGACATATAAGATAGAAAAGCATTCTTCTAATCTTGAGATATCTAATGATTTTTGGCATTTCACTAAATAAAATTTAAAATTATTTAATTGTCTTTCCAAAAGTTCTCTAATACCTGACACAAAACTTTTACATACTATTGGACCCTGTGGAGGACTATGTCAGACTCTAGATCTTATACCGTTCATTCATAGAATTTAGATAGTAACGCTCATGCTATATCTTCTCCTCAGAGACTCTAATGTTGATAGGCATGTGTCCTTCATCCTTGATGTAATGTGTTGTTAACCCTGAGACAAAGCCCCAAACAATATCGTTTTCGTCTGTGAATAATATTATATACACTGAATAACAACCAAAGGTAGCGAACGGGGACCAGCCTTCACTGCATTGGATGCCCAAATTACAGAGGTGACCATACAAATTCAGATTATCAGGTGGGTAAAAACCTCAAAAGACTCTTTCCAATTTTATTGATGATGTTATGTTAGTAAACATTTCAGTGTTTATTGACTATGTTAAACGCATATATCCAATCGAATTTGAAATAAAAAAAATAGCACTTTTAATTCTGCTTCATATCTTGAATTACATCAAGAAATTGATCGGAAGAGAAGTAATAAGCAGTTCGTTTTTATTTTATTTTTGCTCAAATTTTATTAATATTTAGCTATTAGAAAAACCTTAAATTGCCGAGAAAAGCAACTTAGAGATTTATCAAAGAAACCCATTTTCAAGGGAAATTCAAAGGAGAAAAATTCCTATTACACCATATATAATCATTGGACAAAGTATTCATTTTATCTCATGTACATTCTTTTTACATAAACTACATTTTGTAGCTGTATTTTCAACAATACAAGATTGATAGAAGTGTCGGTCATTACACGAATTTGACCATGCTAAATTGTTGAAAGGCCTTACTGTGACTTTGAGATGAGGAACAGCAATAAAAGTGCTGTTCCTTTGCTTTTCGTGTGTGTGTGTTTTTTTTTATGAGCATGAACTGATTTTGTGTCATGGATGGATACCCCATATCCTTTTTTTTCTATTAAATACATGTTATCAACCAAAGGTATCAATCATAAAAATGAAGGCTTCATTGTTCGTCTTTCGTTTAACAGATTTGAATAAAAAAAATCCATTTCATTGTTTATGATATATTTTGTTTTCCATACAATCTATTATGTAATAAAACGCACCGTATCTAAAAGTTTAAAATTAATACCTGCATAAATGATGCCTGAAATAGTAAGTGTTTCTGATTTTCATTTTTGTACAAAATTCCCGGTTTCTAAAATATTTCTTGCCATACTTCTTCCACAAGTTTACAGTGTTGAAAATATTAAACAATGATTCTTCCTCATCACAAAAATATAAATTTCTGTTTCAACTATTCGTTGTTGTTGAAATATATATCTTTTGTGTCTTTAAATATAATGTTATTTCAAAATCAGTTTATCGATGTGCAACACTGGAAAATCAATTTGTAAATAATAATACAACTAAAAGATAAATACATTACGAAATCGCGTGAAATCTAAACAGAAAAAGACCCAGTCCGTCGACAGGGTAGGCACCCCTACATACCCATCATGCGAATCCATACTCAGTCACATAGAGAGTAAGCCACAATCGGTCAATTTTCCTATTTAATAAATGATATGCTTGATTAATCTTTTCAATTCAATTCCTTCCTTAGTAAAAGCAATCACGGAGCACATGAGATCACTCTCATTTTTGGTGGACTTCATATTGCTTCGTCTTCAGTTTTAGACATTGTCAATTTCTCTGGATTTTCAGTTTTAAATATTCCTTTCGTATCTTCCGCCTCTTTTTTTAAACCACTAATTTCCTGCTTTATAATATTTATGCTCGTTTTCTATATAAATCATAACTTCAAGTATTTGGTTGGTATTCCTATGTAGACTATTTACGCCTTTCTTTTGTCAGATCAATTGTTTTATTTTTATGTATTCACTCGGGGTTTTTTTATACCTTGATTTGTATCTTCTTAATTGATTTATGATATTTAAACATCGGTAAATTACTGTTCGCTCTAATGAATCACGGTCCATCACTGATCTTTTCAAAGAACCAATGAAACACCACTCGAAAACTATATTGTGCAATACGTGCACATAATAGAATTATACATTTTAGTACCAAGTAAAATAACAAAACTACCGAACTCCAAGAAAAATTCAAGACGGAAATCCCTTATTAAATAGCGAAATCAAAAATTCAAACACATCAAACGAGTGGAAAACCACTGTCATATTCCTGATATAGTACAGTCATTTCCTTGTGTAGAAATTTGTGGATTAAACATTAAATTATGACTTTCTTCAAACGCTCTGAGCACACACCCATAATAAAATACAAATACATTGCATGTCAGCTGATAGGCAACGTCATGATTTATTTGGGCTTTTCCATGTCGTATGCGCTTTATGGATGAGTTGCCAGTTGTCAATCGGTGTAAATGGCGTCATTGAATGATGACGTGAAAATAAAAGCTTTCAACGGGAAAATGTACGAATTTGAAACTGAAAGTCATTAAAACATGAGAACATAAACATACGATGATAGGAATTGAACGAAATCCATTTTCGTAAATACTAATGTAAAATAATCATGTAACGTTGTCCATACCTGCCGAAGAAGGTTAACTAATTCAGATTTCCTGGTCTTTTAAGACAATAGAAATAGTATGTTTAATTAAGGGAACAGTAAATATTTGCCTTAACCTAGAGCGTTCTGATCCAAACAAATAAAAATAATTCATAGGGCTTTAATTTATATTGATTTTATACAGGTTGGACCTTAATGCTCACCATCGGTCGTGATACAATATTTAGCAATTAGCTCCAACCCTTGCAAAAATCAATATAAATTCAAGCTCCCATGAACTGTTTCATAATTATCTCCTAATAACTGACAGCTGAATGTAGCAATTGTGCCGATTAACATTTAGCGAATAAAAGCAAACATTTCGGACAAAATTGAATGAGCATACACCTAGATACACATGGCTGTACGTCAGATATAACATAGAGTTTTGGAAAACCTTTTCCTACAGTAACATTGGTTCTCAACGCTCTCTAACTGCGTACTCAACTTGGCCTTGATAACTTTTTGATCCGAGGGTCACTGGTGAGTCTTTGTAGACAAAACGCGCGCCTGGCGTAGAAAATTGAAATGAGTTTATTTACAACTACTGGATGTCACTTCCGGTGGAGGCTTATCCCCAAGGGTATCACTAGCCCCGAAGTCAGCACTTCTGTGTAGACTTGAATTTTCATTGAAATAGTCATTTCAATTGATATTTTATAGTGTGTCTTTCTATGTTGTGATGTTACACTTTTGTTTCAGGTAGGGTGAAGGTTGGCGCCTTTTAAAACGCTTAACCCCGCCATATTCTATATGTGCCTGTCCCAAGTCAGAAGCCTGTAATTGAGGGGTTGTCTTTGTTGCTATTTCTCATATTTGTTTTTCGTTTATTGTTTTGCATAGTTTGTTCTTATGTTTTACCGTTACATCACTGTCCTAGGTTAGTGGGAGGGTTTGGCGCCAAAAACCTAGTTCAAACCCGCTGCATTTGTTTGCACCTGTCCTAAGTCAGGAACCTGATGTTCAGTGGTTGTCGTGTGTTTATGTGGTTCATAAGTGTTTCTCGTTTCTCGTTTTTTATATAGATTAGACCGTTGGTTTTCCTATTTAAATGGTTTTACACTAGTCATTTTTGGGGCCCTTTATAGATTGCTGTTCGGTGTGAGCAAAGGCTCCGTTTTGAAGGCCGTACTTTGACCTTTAATGGTTTACTTTTACAATTTGTGACTTGGATGGAGAGTTGTCTCATTGGCACTCATACCACTTATGTACATATCTTCTTATGTCTATATAATTATAAATCAACTGATTATAAAACTTTGATTTTTTCGAAACACTAAGGGTGTTTTACCCCAGGAATAGATTACCTTAGCTGTATTGGACAAAACCTTTCAGACGTTTTGGTCCTCAATGATCTTCATCTTCGTACTTTATTTGGTCTTTTTAACTTTTTTGAATCGAGCGTCACGGATGAATCTTTTGTAGACGAAAAGCACGTCTGGCGTACAAAATTGTAATCCTGGTATATATAATGTGTTTATTCAATCCTGGCATCAATGATGAGATTACTGCACATCAATTCATAAAAGGCAAAATATCCATAATTTTAACTTACGAGTTATGGTATCCCAACATTCTACAGACTACTACGGCCTCTTCCTGGCCAAACCTGTCATCACAAATTGTTCCCCATTGTCCGCGGTACATTATTTCCACTCTTCCTCTTGATGGACTGGGACCATTAACTAAGCGAACTCCTGTCTCTTTGAAATAAACATATGTCAATAAATATAACATAAGCAAATCTCAATAAAATTATACATTCAACTGTTACTCAAACGAATAAATGATTTTTTAGTTAGATATGGTGTATTAATTCATGAAACAGAATACTTTCATACACTTAGTTAAACTTAAATCAAAGGGAACTACGGTTATAATGCTGTTCTTTATTTCTTATTCATACAAGTCGGAGGATTAGCTACCCATTAAACCAGGTCAACCCACCATTTTCTTCAAACAATAACTGTACCAAGACAGTTGTTTTTTTTTTTCGTTTGATTGTAATAGAAAAAACAACGGATATGGGTAATCCATCCATGACACAAAATAAGTACATGCACACCAAAAAACACACAAAAATAAAAAGGAACAGCGCTTTAATGTGTCTGTTTTGATGGACTTCCTGTTTTGAATTACACTACATACAACTTGTAATATGCATGTAGTGTAGTTTTTTTCTAAAGATATAAGTTCCTTGGAAGCATTAATGCTTGATGTAATCTTGACCTACTTATATATCAACAAAATTTTCTGTGGCCAATTCAGGCCGAGAATAAAAAAAAAACATCATAAAGACTAAGTTGGTTCTACAAAGTAGGTTGACCAGAAGCCGATGCTATTATCAAAACCACATATGTTAGAAATTTGCAGATTTTTTTCCTTGCCCAAACTCATCTAAGACCAAGATCTAAAGTATACATTGTCATGGATTGGTAGCGTCTCAGGGAGCGTAATACTACTATAAAACTTTTTAACTCTTTTTTTTTATAAATTTAACTTTCCCAATCCAACAAACCGGATATAACTGCATTTTATACATAAGGTTGTACATTCAAATACGTCATTAAACTGTTTAGATTTATATTGAAAAAGAACGTTTCTCTTCAAAACAAAGAGTGAATTTGGAATTACTTAATCATTTTTTTTAAATGGCAAGCTAATACCTATAACTTAACTCACAAGTTAATTAATTAAAAAACAGTATTGAACTTAATTTGATAGACCAAAGGCATTTCCAACAATATACATCATGATTTATCCCAAGTAGTTTAAACTTTCAAAAACCTGCAGAACTTTTAAACTTATCTTTATGTCTAACCTTCTTTATATTTTAGCCTTTTTTTTTCATTTTTTGTGTGTGCCTTTCCTGTTTTTCAATAAGGGTAGAGTTTTGTGTATTCTTTTGTGCTATAAAACCAGATTTAATCCACCATTTTCTATATAAGGAAATACCTGTACCAAGTCAGGAATTTGACAGTTGTTTTCCATTCGTTTGATGTGTTTGAGCTTTTAATTTTGTCATTTGATAAGGGACTTTCCGTTTTGAATTTTCCTTAGAGTTCGGTATTTTTGCTATTTTACTTTTTAATGCTTGAATCATGTCTTTTTCCTATTTCATTTTTCTCAGATGCAGTCGTTATTTCTTAAATCATCTTGAAGTCAGTTATTCAATGTAAGGTGTTGATTATCAATTTAAGACTTACGACATTCAACCCCAACATCGTCCCTCTGTCCACAGTTATGACTTCCCCAACCTGTAGACTGACAAGCAGATACGTCTTTTTCTGCTCCAGTGCAATTAAGATCAACCATTTTTGAAGATAAAGTGCTGTGACCGAAATGGCCACCGGGATATACCGACGGATGGCTAGTGAAAAAACAAATTTGTATTAGACTATTTGTTGTATTTTCGGGATACATTTGGGTGTGTTTAATGTCTTAAAAAAGTTTACATACATTTAAGAGAGAAATTAGAATTATAAAAAAAAATTATGTCAATAGTTACATAGACGGTACCAATTTTACTGCATCATATGCGCATTTCGACAATTAATGTCTCTTCAATTAGACAGTATAGAAAAGTAATCTACAGGTGTACATAAGGTTTAACACCAGGCAGGTGTTTTCACAATCTGTTAAGCTATTAACCGCCTCTAGTCTTAACCATGTTAATCACTTAATTCAATTAGATGCAATATTAGTTTATCAATGATATTAATACTTTACAAACATTCAAATCAAGATATAAATTCCCTGGAGAATCGAATAAACTTTAAAAAGAACAAGACAGAGAAGTTCTACACGGTAAGCGACTCCTGCTATGCATGCACCACTCACCATGCGAATTTGCCATACTCAAAATTTCACAATAGGGTACAGGGCCCAATCTCGGTTAGTTTACAGATGACTATAGCTATTCTGTTATCTGTTGATCAAAGACCACGAACATTTGTTGCTAGTAAGTTAAGGAACATCGTATCGGTAAAACCAATTTGTGTTGGTGACTGCACAACTATGACGGTTTATATGTAGGAAAAAATAAAATAACAAAAATACCGAATTACAAGGAAAATTCAAAACGGAAAGTAGTTTATGAAATGGCAAAATCAAAAGATCAAACAAATGAACAAACCCTTTAAAAGAAGTCCGTATATTGTGAACATGCAAGTATGTTATGTATCAACTGAGATATTTAAACGCAACACGATTGGGCCGATGGTATGTTACTACTGAAAAATGAGAAGTTAAAAATCAGGAAGCTGAAATCATAACGCTTGTCAAATATTATAGTTTGAATTCATTCATCTATGGTAGCACTCATTGGGTTATCTAGTGACATGACATAATCAATATACATCAAAATGAAATTAAAAAATAATTAGCGGTGGCTACAAAGATAAGGAATCAACTCAAAATTCTTCAAAATATTAACACATAAAGACAACATAATACAGCTAGAAAAGATAATTAAATCCCTCAGGTCTAGTTCCTAATCATGATTTGGATGATAAAGAGTTGCAGTAGAATCAGTGGTTCTTAATGCTAAAGTTGGATTCATTTTTGAAAAAGAACGCGATAGTTATATCATCTTTTTGACGTATATTGTGAAGCGGTGCTTCCCCTAACCTAGTAAATTTATATCCGTCCTTAATTAGCTGCGCTAGTGGAGTACTCCTTTAGCTCAGTTGGTAGAACAGTGGCTTACTGTGCCAAGGGACCCAAATTCGATTCCCGCCTTGTACAGGAATGAATTTGGGAAGGCAAAACATGCTCCCTACAACTGCCTATTTGTCACATTCACAATCACCATTCACCAGTTTATGACAATATGATATCGTCCATTTGTCGAAGTCACAATTAGGTAGTTATCACAGTTTGGATATTGTCCATTTGTTGTTTTCATAATCAAGACCTCCTTCTCCCGTGTATGTCAAATGGATTTCGCTCATTTGTCGTATTCACAATCAGGGCCTCATTCCCTCGTATTAAACAAACTGATATCAACCATTTGTCGTCATCACAGTCATGGCCTCCTTCCCATATTTATACACCAGAGACCAAATGACGTAAATGTTAGCAACTATGGATATTTTTCATTTGTCGTATTGTGGATTCATTTAAAACTATTATTAGAACAGCAGTTACAAAGTCTGAAAATTGATCATTTGAACATTTGGGTTATTTTGTCATGTTGCACTTTACAAATTTAAAATTCACAGTTACAAAAGAGAGGCGAAAGATACCAAAGGAGCATTCAAACTCACCGTCGAAAAAAACACTGACAAAGTCATTAAAAAACAGAAAAAGACCAACACAAAAACAACAGTTTACAAAACACCACACAGAAAACTAAACACTGAGCAACATAAACCCCCTAAAAAACCGGGGGCGATCTCAGGTGCTCCGGTAGTGTAAGAAGATCCTCCTCAAATGTGGCACCCGTCGTGTTGCTGCTGTAAGTACAAACCTGGTGATAAGTCTAATTCGATAAGTCACATTCGGGGAAAGGAAGATGGTACTTTGGTAACGACAATTGAAACATTTCCGTTGTCATCTGAGAAACCGATATTCCTTACGGTCAACCAATTCCGTAAAATTTTCGAAGGGATGATTTCAACTTCACCACTTGAAACTCTTGGCTTATTCGCTTCCTTGTGAGCAGCAACCCTCTATCAAGGAAATCATAATAGAAACGCAAGCCCTGGAATATCGTATCAACTGGGAGATATATACAACATATGCAGGTGCTACATAGAAATGGAAAGTTCACAGTTAGGAAGCTGAAATGATCTCTTTTGTAGTAAAGTTAGTTCTCAACCGACCATCATAGCAATTTCTAGATGTAAGTCAAGATATGAGGCATATATTCAAGATACTAATTTCGCGGTTTAATATAGTCTCAAATGAATCAAAATGATATTCTAAGTTTCTGTTAATAATATTCTGTAAAATAATCATTTTTCAATATTCTTAAGTCATAATATGAGGCAGGTGTTACCCTTTGAAAGAAAAACAAGTCTGTATTATTTTCCAAATGAGATACACGAATTTGCGGGAAATCGTAACAGATCTTCGTCAACAAGGTAATTACACAAGTGTAACTGTTGTGAAAAAAACAATTAACGAGTTTGCATTCACTAGTACACTATTTTCGTGTTATTGATTTGCTACTATTATTGGGACTTCGTCTTCTATAAATACTTAAACCTATTGATACCATGACATTTATTTATATGCACAGTCTAAATGTCAACTGATGTCTACCGCGCACAAAAATATTTCATTTGTTGTCACCATTTATACTGCATATTTACAACGGGAAGAGCTTCAGAAGGAAACCGTTGGTATTTTCCGCGATTTGGACGATCGAAGAATTATTTTTGTTTTTGAGATGCATGGTGAAATTCACTGACCATGAGAGTATTTTTGTTACCATTTGTGTTTCCATCTTTATGTTTATTGGTTGATTAGTTCATTTTGTCTCTGTAATTTACAATTTAATTTCATGTGCATTTTTTCAGATCTAAACACTGTCAATATTTCATTTTAAATCGGATCATATGTCAAGTTGAAGCACGACCATACAATTGATGCACTGCAGGTAGCAGAGCTGGATCTATAAAGTCTGTAGAAAAATAAGTTGTCGGTCAATCCATGTTTTTTTTTTTTTTTTTTTTACTCAATTACGATTCATTTCCGTAGTAACACATCTTTGCTAGTGCAGCTTTAACTGAAATATTTGTCCTAATTAGCGTTCCAAAAACCCTTAAAAGCACAAGGCTCTCTTAGGTTTTAATTTTCATTTGGTTCAATATTGGTAATCTTTTCACGATACAGTCTTCTAGGTTGTATTTTGTGTACTGTCGTTTGTGTTTTAGTCTCTTTTTGTTTTGCCATGGCGTTGTCAGTTTATTTTCGACTTATGAATTTGAATTTCCCTTTGGTATCTTTTGCCCCTCTTTTGTATTATGTTGTCTTGTTGTCTTTTCTAAATTGTTGATTTGAATGTCGTTACGCTACAATAATTCTAAGAACGGGTCATCATAATAACTTTTAAATGCAGATATACAGATTCGGTCGCCGCGCTTATGAAAAAATCATACTAAACAGATATGTAATTTGTTTATTTCGGAGTATGCATTGTATTATGGTTTATAAAGATGTTTTAGGAACTCCCCTGGGAAAAAAATTGAATAAGTAATTAGAAAATGAACAATTCAAATTGTCTAGTAATAACAGTCCCTGTTATTAATTTAGCTAGGAACATGTTTTAGTGAACAAATTTATTTCTTAAACGACCCTCTTACTCACATATGTTTCAGATTAGTATTTAGAAATTTGATTTATAGAATAATGAAATTCAGGTTTATTAGATATGAAAGTCTATATTATTGAATTTGGTCCAGTATACAATTTAGTTATTTAAATAGTTAACTATATTATTTCAGATTAGCTCAGGAATCGCATAATAAAATTGAAAATGGAAATGGGGAATGTGTCAGAGAGACAACAACCCGACCATAGAGCAGACAACAGCCGAAGGCCACCAATGGGTCTTCAATGCAGCAAGAAACTCCCGCACCCGGAGGCGTCCTTCTGCTGGCCCCTAAACAAATATGTATACTAGTTCAGTGATAATGGACGTATACACAAGAAACTAAAATCAAAAATGATACAAGACTAACAAAGGCCAGAGGCTCCTGACTTTGGACAGGCGCAAAAATGCGGCGGGGTTAAACATGTTTTTTGAGATCTCAATCCTCCCCCTATACCTCTAGCCAATGTAGGAAAAACAAACGCACAACAGTACGCACAGTAAAACTCAGTTTAAGAGAAGTCCGAGTCCGATGTCAGAATAGGAAACAAAAGAAAATAAACAAAATGACAATAATACATAAATAACAACAGACTACTAGCAGTTACTGACATGCCAGCTCCAGACCTCAATTAAACTGATTGAAAGATTATGTCTTCATCATATGAATATCAGGCACAATCCCTCTTGTTAGGGGTTTAGTATCATACCATCATAACATATCTGAGAAGAACATAACCAGTGTCATGCCAACAACTGGTTTTAGAATAAATATGTTTAATTCCGATGCAAAGACCCTATAAGTGAATCAATATTAAAGCCAAAATATGCAATCTGTAATGACCTGACAACAGTATCGTAACTATATCCCTTCTTAATAAGTCTGTTTAAAGGTTTTGTTAGCTTTTGAGGTGAATACTGACATTTTTGTGCTTTGTAAATAATATTACCATAAAAGATTGGATGTGAAATACCCGAACGTATAAGATGTCTGCATGTTGAGTTACATTTACGAATGATGTCCTTATACCGATGATAAAATTTAGTAAATGTTTTGACTAGTTTATGATATCGAAAACCCTGGTGTAATTATTTTTCAGTAATACATAAATTTCTCTCGCTAAAATCTAATACGTTGTTACAAACACGAGCGAATCGTACGAGTTGAGATATATAAACACCATAAGATGGTGACAAGGGAACGTCACCATCTAAAAATGGATAATTAACGATAGGAAATGAAAAATCATCTCTTTTATCATAACTTTTTGTATTAAGCTTCCCGTTAATGATATAGATATCAAGATCGAGGAAAGGACAGTGGTCATTGTAAGTATTAGCTTTATTTAAAGTAAGTTCAACAGGATAAATTTCTTTAGTATACACACTGAGGTCGTCATTATTGAGAGCCAATATATCATCCAAATGTCTAAAAGTATTATTAAATTTTTGTATCAGATGATGTTTCGATGGGTCTTTGCTGATTTTAGTCAAAAATTGTAACTCATAACAATACAAAAACAGGTCCACAATAAGTGGTGCACAGTTAGTCCCCATTTGAATTCCGATACCTTGACGATATACGGAATCTCCAAAGCGAACAAAAATGTTATCAAGTAAAAATTCAAGGGCAGATATGGTATCAAAGCATGTCCAATTGACATAGTTCTTTTGTTTGTTGCTACTAAAAAATGACCTAAAAGAGTTTGAACATATGTATTCGCATTCCGACTTTTTAAATGCCCATTTAATTAGGTGTGTGAATATGAGGCAAAGTGGTATATAGTGTAGAAAAATCACAACTTTGAACAGATTCAAAATAACCAATATATGCATGCAATTCATCAAGTACTTCCAACGAGTTTTTGACACTCCAAAAGTAGTTAATTCCACTATTTTCAAAGGCCTTATTTGAACAATTTATTATCAGGTTTTTAATTGTACCAAGTGTACTGGTAAGTAGAATAGAAAATTTAGTAGTGGAACAATGACTTGAAGACGAAATAAATCTATATTTGTAAGGTGATTTGTGTAGCTTCGGAAGCCAGTACATAGTTGGGACTTTCATTGTATTTGGTTCTGCTTGTAAAGAAGTAGCTAATAGTTTATGTTTGTTACAGATATCGTTTTCTGAAAATGAAGTCAGTTGGAATGTTGGTGAATTCGTGATTTCCTGTTGCAGAACGTCAATGTAAAATTTACGTCAAACTATAATGATATTATTAGCAGCTTTATCAGCCGGGACAAAAACAAATTCCTCGGCTAGTTCTTTTAGTTTATGTTTGATACGAGAAATAGGATTTTTATGGTTGTTGTTAAGAGTAAAATTATCTTTAAAATGTTGTATACGTATATCAACTATCTTCATTACTGAATTAATAAAAGAGTCCAAAGATTTTTTGTCAGCTTTTTCCCGTTTTATCCATTTACATCCTAATGTATATTTCAAGATAATTTATCAACATTTCATAAACCATTTAAAGCCTTACTCATTAAATTATTCATTATCAAATTTGTTTATACTATAGATTTGATATTATTTATTTTCTTTATACAGTTATTAAACGAATAAACAAACTTTTTAGAAATAATGATTGGATATTATAATGTACACCTAACAAAAAGTTATTGTCCGAACATAATGATAAAACATTCAATGTTTTATGCTTATTGATTATTTGGAACAAATAATTTTCCTTGTAAAATTGAGGACATGGAAACGTTTACATATGACAAAAAATATGTTAACTGACATGAGACTGAAACTAAAAGAAAAAACTGTAACAATGGACTTATCATACTTGCAATATATACCCGCTCTAGTGCAAATTTTACCAGAACTAATTTCAATTGGATATATAGTGTTTGGTAAAGGTAAGAAGGGGTTCAGATTTATATTCACCTCTAAAAATGTTTGACTATAAAAATAAGGAGATGTGGTATGATTGCTAATGAGACAACTAACCACCAAATTTTAAATGAAGTGGATGTAAGCAATTATAGGCAACCGTACGACTTCAACAATGAGAAAACCCCATCCCTATATAGTCGGAGGCTTTATCATGGATTATATTAGTTCGGGTAATTCGGTATAGATTTCAGATCTTTGAAAGTCTCTTTCAATTTCATCCTAACTTTTCTTTACTCGGCTGGTTTTTTGGCTTCTAGATGCTTTAGTTTGGAGTGTTGTTTAGTGGCTGTCGCATTAACGTTTACCCATATGTCGTTTGAATCATGTCTCTAAATAATCTCACGAATTTGTAATATACAAATACTGATGAACTATTTCAACTCGTTCTATTAACAAAAACTATTTTCCTCTATATCTTTTATATTAAAATGAGACTTAATGTAGAAATATTTTTTCTGGGAACATGTACCAAATTATTTTGCATGTAGATGTCGTTACATGTAACAATGTTTCAATGAAATTAAAAAGAAATTACCAAACTAGTGTCTACATAACTTAAATGGACAAGTGTGGAGAAGACATGGTTTACCTAAAATGTGACACGTTTGGACATTACAAGAAATATTGGAATGCTTTGGAGGGATTTTTTTTTTTATATAAATAGACACGTTCTAATAAGAGGACATGTTTGAAAGTAAAGTCAAATTTAGGCGTGTCACAAATCTATATATATATTACAGTTTTCTCTTCTCTAAAACATAGGATAGTGTATTTAAAAGATGATATATATATATATAAAGGTGATCACGTATTTCGTTGCTTTTTTCATTTTTATTGTAAATGCTAAAACTAAAATCCAAATTGATTGTGACCTGCATTTGTTTGGTCAAGCGGTACTTTCATTATCATTTGGAAATTTGTGACGGACAAACAATCGTTTAGGTTATCCAATAAACAAGGAAAAGGTTCAGTATTAGTATTCTTAATACATTTGTAACTGATTGGTTTTACATATGTATGATAGTAAATATCGACAAATAAACAAATGTTAAAAAAAATATTCTGCGTGTAATTTGAACAAACTGTAATCACAAAGTAAATACAAAAAGCTGAATTTTCACGTTGATGGTAAGAAATCCAAATCATCAATGCAAACAACAGTATTCTTTTGATTTATCAGCATTGCACCTCGAAGTAAAGTTAAATTCAAGTTTAGCAAAATTTGAGTTATATTTTGACTTTTTATTTGTTAATTGAGTATGAAGGTAGAATAACCGTTAGCCTTTCCTTCATCTTCCCCATGTAAATTTAGTTGTTTGCATGTCCATATAAAAATAGAAAGATTTAACGCCTGCTGAATCGTTTAATAGTTGTAAACATCTTGATTCCTTTTGAATTAAGTCTTATATCACGAAATACATAAGCCGTCGTAGGGAATGACAGAAAAGTATTAACTTGTTAAATTATCTCGATCAAATGTTAATGTATGATGAATACATTTATAATTGATGTTCAAGACATAAGATATCGGCGATATTGATTCCAGCCTTATCCCTTTCACAGAACATTGTAAAGAGTCAATATAGGGACATGTTGGTTAAGGATATTGATTCAATATCGCGACTTAATAGTATATTTGACATTTAGATAACCACATTTAAAGTTTCCCGCATGATCCGTTTTCTCAAGATAACAGTGTTCTCTATTCTGCGGTGTCAAATCGACAATTTTGTGCATCTGGTTTGGTTGTCTATACCTACAATACCAATTCAAAGTCGACATTTCAATATTCCTCAATTTTTTTATCAATGAGTATACTTTATTTACATCTTCTACAGTTGTCAATTTTAAGGTTATATTTGTATCAATAAAACCGGTCTCCCAAATACAATTTGGTCGAATAATGTCCTTGGTTTTGTTTTACTTTTAAAAGAAAGTTAGAAGCACTGCAATGAATACTTATTTGTAATGATGAATGAATAGAGTGACACAATCTGGTCACTTTGGAGCAGGAAATGTAATTATAAAGACAATGCTATACCATAAACATATCAAAATGTACATATTTGATCTACTTATATATAAATGGTCATTTACATAAAATTTTGATCAATTGAAAATGAGCATCAACCTTATCAAAAAGATATTTTACTCATATCAACAACTTTCTGGAAGATATTTTGTATCGAAATATCTTTTTGATCAAGGCTGTTACTCAGATTAAATCAAAATATGTTAAAACCAAGATCTCAAAGTAAGGTTATGTTGGCAGTTACTGCAGTCTTGTAAAAAAAATGAAGTTTAGAGTTCTGCAGCAAAATGACAGATTATAATAAAATAACACAAACATTAATATCTGACAGACTAGTTTTTACAATGATAGCTTCAAGTACCTTGTCATGAATCCAAGCGTTCTGCATACAACGGCTGCATCTTTCAGGTCAAAGTTGTCATCGCAAACTGATCCCCAACTTCCAGAATGATATACTTCAAGTCTGCCCTTCGATGGTTTTGTTCCACCTACCAGCCTAACGGGAGTTGCTGAATGAAAAAAGGAAATCCAGAATTTTTCTTTTATGTACATTGAATGGTTTATGAAATGTTGATAAATTATGTACATAGAACATGAATAAAATATATTTTAAATGTTTCAACTAAACCAACCACACAAAGATACAAGCAGAATGAGCAAATCACCCGGCAAATCATTCGAAATACTATAAATGTTCGAGTAAGAAACTGTGATAACATTAACCAAAATAAAGGTATTACAAGGTGCCAGTTCAGACTTTGTATGCCCCACCTATGATAGTAGAGGGGCATTATGTTTTCCGGTCTGTGCGTCCGTTCGTTTGTTCGTTCGTCCGTTCGTTCGTCCGTCCGTCCGTTTGTCCCTCTGTCCAGCTTCAGGTTTAAGTTTTTGGTCAAGGTAGTGTTTGATGAAGTTGAAGTCCAATCAGCTTGAAACTTAGTACACATGTTCCCTATGATATGATCTTTCTAATTTTAATGCCAAATTATAGTTTTGACCCCAATTTCACGGTTCACTGAACATAGAAAATGATAGTGCGAGTGGGGCATCCGTGTACTATGGACACATTCTTGTTCGAACAGTTTCAATGTAGACTGATTTTTTTATTACTTTTTATTTGGCTTTAAACTGTATTATAATCAACCTATTTCAATACATTATGTCCCCTCTCTTATATATGATTTTTATAAATATATTATGCATATTGCACTGAATAATTTGTCCATAAGCCTCTTAAAACACACTGTAGGGCGTCAGCTTTTTTAATCATACAGCCCAGAAATAGTGTAAACTTCCATATAAAACGTGTAATGGTGTTTGGTACATGGGAATTAGTGTGTGGTCATCAGAAATGTTGTTTGATTTTTTTTTCTGCTCAAGTTATTGTATTCATTTTTAATCACGTCATGGTTTTACCCGTCTGATCACTTTATTGTATTTTAGACATTTGTGTTGGTGTCAAATTTTTCATTTTATATTTTTGTAGTATCTGAAATGGTATTGATGGATAATTTCTACAGCAACGTCAAAATATAGGTGTCAAATTTAAGCAATAGAACACTTCATATTAAGATCCTTGAAAGGAGTTGGTACTTTTGATTTAAAACTATATTAAACAGATATTATTTCAAACACGTGAAATGTTGGTAATTTTCCAAATCTAATAAGATTCAAATAGGAAAGAGGGAACAGAATTATGTATATTTCATACTAGTGTATGATGTACTGGTGTATTGTTTTAGTTTAAATCATTGAAGGCCTGTATAACACTTTAGATTGGACTCCATAAATTCTATTCAAAATTTGCATGTAACTCGAGTAACGATCTTGTCATACGATATTTTCAAGACGGTCAATATGGTGAATAAAATGTTCGGTTAACATATGATATCTCACTTGGAATCAAAGAATTGATTACTCATATGTGGCCATTTGAGAAAGTTCTTCGGAATTGTTTCTGTTAACTGTATAATAACGTTCAGCCCGTTTGAAGGGTGAACACTTAAAAATAGGACTTATCCTTTAAATAACAATTTGATTTGGTTAAAAGGGGAGAGAAACATTTTACAGTCCTCTTACTATGTAACAGATGACAAATACGGGGTGCCATAACTCTGAATGTCATGAAAGTGTTAAATGATTCAAACCTGTATTTATTCTGAAAGAAGCAACACCATACTAACCGATAACGCCATGGCAAAAAAGAAAAAAGACCAAAAGAAAAAACAACATAGAACACTATAGACTGAGCAACACGAACCCTACCAAAAACCCGAGGGTGATCTCAGGTGCTCTGGAAGGACAAGCAGATCCTGCTGCACATGTTGCACCAATCGTGTTGCTCATTTAAGTACAAACCCGTAGGTAATTCTAATTCGGTAGGTCAAATTTGGTGAAAGGTACGACAATTGGAACATATCCGTCGTCACCTGTGAAACCGATATTCCATAACGAACAACCAACTTGTGATGGCGTTCGTTAGATTTACGAAGGTATGATTTAAACTTCACCGCTTGAACTATTGGTTTAATAGCTTTCTAGTGAGCAACAACCCTGTATACTACATTACAAAAAAATAAAGATACGTACCATTATACTTGCCGATTGATTGATTGATTGTAGTTTAACGCGACTTTCAGCACTATTGCGCTATTTCATGGCGGTCAGTGTTTATTGTAGGATGAAGCCGGCGGTAGGAAAACTACCAATATCAGTTGATTACCTGTAACATTGAAGTCGAGCGCACCTGCCGCGTGCCCGATGCGAACACACAACCTTGGTGCTGACAGGCTAGTGATACAGTAGTTCGACTACTAGTACTTTGACCAGTCGGCCACCGAGGCCCCTCTGATACTTAAAAACTTTTAACAGTTAACAAAGCTATTCCTTTTTAATTGTCAGATGAATTATCATGTTTACTAAACATATTATGGTTATAATTTTGAATGGCTAAAGTTTATAAGGAAAATCATATACTAGTATGTTTACACAACATTTGACAGTATTTAAAATGTCCATATATAAACTGGTTATTCTCGAACCTGTTCAATCATTCCAGCACATGTTCAATATTATCACCAAATCGTGTATTTCTTGTAAATGTTGATTTGATAATTATTGATTGGAGAGAGATAGGGTTGAACATGTGACGAAACGCGACAGCTTGCATCATGTATATACATTGTTTTAGGTGACGAATGCTTTTACATCAGTTAATTTTGATAACAATAGAAGTCATCTCGTACGTTTAGTGCATGCACATTTTGTGTAGGCACGTATATCTACTTATTGCATATTAATCTAGAACCTTGAACTATGCTTTATCTTAACAACCAATACAAAACATAGACCAAAGTCATTCCATTCTAATAATTAATAGGAATGTCAAAGTCGCTTAATTTATATTGTAATCATACCGATTTGACATTATCAAAGACCAACGTTCATTTTGTTTGTTTTTTTCTTTCAGATCAAATAATCCTCTACCCCATTATACAGGTAAACAAAGTATGGTAATGTTTGTTAATTTAGTAATTATTGGTTGAACAGCATCGTCCAGAAAGAGGAACACGCCGTATGGTACGTCGATTTTTTATATGAAATAAGCCATGGTATCAAATGAAATATTTACCACACGAAACTCCAACATCCTCAGAATGGTCACAGTTAGTATGTCCCCAACCTGTATAATTACACTGGTGAATGTCTACTTCATTTCCTTTGCAACCAAGATTAGAAATTAATACTTCGCCATGACCTTTTCCGAAATGAGCCCTCAAATGAACTGTCGGATGGCTGAAATATTTTAAAGGTTTTTATTAAGTCTCCCAAACAAAGTTTGGAGGCTTATTGGTTTTGCTCAGTTCTTTTTCTTATTATTATTATTCCCTCTTCTTCTTCCGTCCGCACCCGTTTTCCAAAACCGCTAGTCAGATTACCTTAGGGTTCCACAATATGTTAGACTAACATGTTTAGTGGTGCAATCAAGGTTTATAAAGGGTACTTTTTTTGGGGGGGGGCGGCAAAAAGAAAGGAGGGGTTTACTATTGAACCCTATCGAAATTATTTTTTTTCAAATGATGATAAATTGAGATCAGTTAGTGATGAACACATGGGGTCTTCAGTAATGACCATGGGAACATACTGAAAGGTCAAAAGGTCAGTGGTCAGTTACTACATTGACCTTGAACTTTTTTCAATTCATTCAATAAGGAGTGTCCATAGGAGTTTATAGGAGATTTGTTTGGGAGACTTCGTAACAGTTTCCTGCTACAATCATTTCTTGTTATGTTTGATTTTAAAGGTATATATTGAACCTTTGGCAAATGAATCTTTATTACTATAAGAGCAGTTTGTTTCAGTTAAATCTCTAAAAAAAACTGTATTCTATCGACTTTTAATAAAAATGAAATAATCTATGTCAAATTTTACATCACTGCAAAGATTTTGAAGAAGAAAGAGCTTTTACAGACAATGCTGAATATGCATCGGATTCAGCAAAAAATTCTCAAAAGAATTTATGAATAAGGGAGATTTAAAACACAGCAGTCAAAGACCACATGTAATCAAAAACGGTATTCAGCTGAGGAGAATAAATCACAGTGTATAAACATCAAAATTACAGATTTTTATTTAAATCAGTGAAAATAATACTGAATGATACCGTTTAAAAGAAGGGGGTATTTACTGAAAGCAATATAATTGGTCGCTTAAAAAATAGTACCAAAGTGATTCAATTACAAAGAAGACAAAATGTAAAATATTCAAAGGAAGTTGATAAAACTGAAATGAATAAAATTTCGAAGACCGGTGTATATAACTTATACCGAAGACATAAGGATAAGTAAAAATAAACAACCGTGAAAACTATACAGCTTTTACATTTCAAACTTCCATAAAAACATGAACTAAAACATTTAATTTTGTATTTACCGCTCCAGAAAAGTGCATATAGCTGTCATCTTCTTCCCATTGCCGTATAGTGACGGCCAGAATTTGTCATTTCAGATAATGTGTGAAATCAGAAGAAAACATCAGATATCCCAGGGAATTATTTTGAATGCAGTAGCTGTATAACAGTCAACAATTAAATGCATCCATTTATAGACAGTTGAACACGGTGTTCTTGTGGATTAGAATATCTAGACACAAAAATTAAAAAAACCAATGGTAGTCTTTATCTATAGGTAATTTATAACTTACGAAATATGGAATCCTAACATTTTACACACAACTCCCGCGTCATGTACACCAAAGTTATCGTCACATACAGTACCCCATTGTCCGTTATGTTTTACTTCTACACGACCCTCTCCGACAAAGGTTCCATTGACTAGTCTTACATCCGTAACATCTGAAATATATATATATATATATATATATATACAAATGAACGGACTACTTTTCCAGCAAACTTTTTGAAATGATGTTTATGCCCATTAATTCTTTATGTGCCTGTCTAAAGATATGAATTTATCGTTTATTGTTCTGTCGTAAATTAGACTTGTCT